CAGATCTTTCTGTACATCGTAAAAGATTCTGCTTCCTCGAGCTTCTCTCTAACTGCTCTATCTGGCTAGTTTAATAGAATGCCATGAGAAAGGATCATTTATAGATTGGCTTTCCTTCTTGCTGGTCTGTTATTGCAGAGTTAATATTTTCAAACAACCAAACGAGATAAAGACTTTTGACCCGTTTTTGTATTTGTAATTTTAAAAAAACGTAGGAGATAAGTAATCTAAAACATAAATACACTCTTTCACACATTCCAGTAAAGCAGGATGGATACTGCATCATCTATTACAGGAATTTCCACTATCCATAGCTGTGGGATTGGAGTTGCAAGAGATTAAGTCTTAAAAAACATATTCAAAATAACCAGTCAAAAAGAATACAGAACTCACAGTGTTTGCTTCTCCAGTATAGTATAGTGTGTGTATACATATGTATATATACTATATAAGTGTATAATTTAACAACCACTTACCGACTTCTGTGTTAGCTAAAAAATAAAAAGCAATAATAAAAATATATAAAGTGCAAAAACTACGGCATAAGGGGTATACATTTTGCACTTGGACATGCATTGTCTGCTATTAAACAGTCTTTAGAAAAATGATAATCTGATTAGGCTAGTCAGTATTTCAAAAGTTGATTCCACTGCTTATTCTGAAGAAATTATCTTTATTAGGAATTGATTTGTAGGCAAATTCCTTCTGTATAAACCCATACATTTGGGCTTTAACAACATTATACATCTGCAGTGTCTGTCTCAGGATCGGCAAGAAAACGTGCTTTATCTCTCACAAAATGTGCTATATATATATAGCCAACAGGAGTCTGGCATATGTGATTTTCCTTCAGGATACAAAGACTGCATGGTAGAACATAGACTCGTTCTTTATTCTTCCTGGCGGCAGCAGCAAAACATTAAAATGTTTACAGACAAATCAACACAGATGTAGTGCTGTTCCAAAACTCTGAGCTGCTGAGCTACAGCAGGAGCTGGGAACAGATGAGTTCATGAGTTCAGTGGGATTAAGTGTATGAGTAAGGACTCCTTGCAGCATAAAGGTTTCAGGATCAAATATTTGGGAAGGAGACACCCCAGGCAGACAGAGGGGGTGATAGACTCAGTGCAGAGAGGCTGAAAGATAATAATCACTGATAAAATAGTGTGTGATTCCAGGCATCTAATCTGAGATGTATGTCCAAAAATATTTGTAAAATACCTGCACTCCCTTCCTGCACCCCAATCCTTGCACTGTGCCCCTTTCTTCTCAACCACGGTCTGCAACCCTTAATCCCTGTACTCCCCTCCTCATGTGGTGTCGCTCAGCACCCACCGGCAGCCCTGCGGATCAGCTCCTGCCCCACAGCCCTCCCGCACGCTGGTGGGCCCTGTCGATCAGCTCCACCCAGTGCTTCCTGCCCGCCATGATCAGCTGTTCAGCCCCTGCGTTTCCTCTGCAAGTTTTCAGCACTCTGCAGAGTGCCCCCTGACCACGGTGCCCTGGGCAGTCGTCCATGTGCCCCACCCCTAAGGACAGACCTAGGAGCTGGGTCTGGAGTTGATGAGCCAGGAAACTGGGACAGTGGGACAGGAGTGGAGAGGACTGGGGCAAAGAGAATAGTGGGGTAGGGGAATGTGAGACCTGGGGCCTGATTTGCAGAAGTGTGGAAATTCTCAGCTGCAACTGAAGTCACTCAGATTTGTGCACTGAACAAATACTATGAAAAATCAGACCAGAGGTATCTCAAATTGGGTGCCCAAAATTAATGTACACTTTTGACATTAATGTGTCTCTGCATCAGTTCCCCATCTGTAAAATGTGAATAATAATACTAACTTACATAGCAAGGGTCTTGTGAATATAAATTCATTAACATTTTGGAGGCACTCAGACATTTGTGATGAGTGCCAAGGAAAAGCCCACTGAGGAAGTTAACACCTCTGGTTTTGGAGCAGGGTTGAATGGAGTGCTGTAAATAAGGCATGGCTCATACATTGAATTATGAGGATAAAAAGAACTATTGAATAGCTGATCATTCTGTAGGTACCATCCATCCTATGTGCTAAATGAACATTATAATATAGGCTCTAGTTACTGTATGTGATCTAAATTAATGTAAAGACTGCATCATATTGCTTACACAGGCAACTTTAATTCTGGCATTTCCTACCTTAGAGTGCTTGATTTTGCAACCTTAACATGGTTTTAAAATGTAGCTTTTTAAATATGTAGTTTATAGATTGTATTTGCTGCTGGTTTCCTACATGTCACACTATAACTGCAGCATATACCTATGCTTTATGCCACATTATACAAATATTGTGACTGCATTGTTATCTAGTTTGATGGTTCTGTTATATAAAACCAAGGGAAGGACTGTGCCAAATCTTGAAATTTTTATTCAAGCAAACAAATTTGCTTTGTTTATTTTAATGCATGAGTGATAATTTTGTATTAATTCTTATTTTAACCAAACTAGTTTACCCATTCTTTGAAGGTTGTAAGTCCCTGTTGGGCATTTACTCACATCCATAAAAGACAACAGTTTGACTCATTAATAGTCTTCCAATTGACAGTCATTTTTAGAAGTGTGTAGAATAGTATCCTCATTTTTTACTGTGGCTGGTTCTACCAGTACTATTAAGCTATCGCTTACTTGAACACTAGATTCACCTAAAAATGAGCAGTAGTGCTTCTGGGTGAGCTGACTGGGTGAGATCAAAAGAACTCTGGAAGTAAGGCTATTACTCCATGTATTGCTTTGTTACAGAGCATTTTCTAATATATCTGAAGTTCTCAAGTTTCAATCAATAGATATTTTTTCTCTTATGAAAAATCACATTGTGAAAGTTCAAAAGATTTTGCAAAAGTGTAAATCATGGTGCTCAATCCTGAAAAATATATTCTTAAAATTACTTCTAGGATGCCTTCATGTTCTTACCATAGCAACGAGGGAGTAACCCTGTACATTTTCAACTGGGCTGAAGGCTAACTTGTCTGTTTGTGCAAACAGTTCATGCCCACATTTTCTGTGATTACAAATCACTGTGGGCACCAAGTTTTAGTAGTCACATGTCTGTCCTTCTGCATTCATAATTAGGTGAACTTGAAAATACTAAGATTTGCATGTACAATTCACTGAGGGAGTATGAACTGGAAAAAGGCAAATATAGTGCCTATATTTTAAAAAGGAAAAAAAGAGAACCAGGGGAACTACAGACTGATCAGCCTCACTTCAGTCCTCGGCAAAATCATGGAGCAGGTCCTCAAGGAATCCATTTTGAAGCACTTGGAGGAGAGGAAAGTGATCAGGAACAGTCAACATGGATTCACCAAGGCCAAGTCATGCCTGACCAACCTGATTGCCTTCTATGATGAGATAACTGGCTCTGTGGATATGGGGAAAGCAGTGGATGTGATATATCTTGACTTTAGCAAAGCTTTTGATATGGTCTCCCACAGTATTCTTGCCAGCAAGTTAAAGAAGTATGGGCTGGATGAATGCACTATAAGGTGTATAGAAAGCTGGCTAGATTATCGGGCTCAACGGATAGTGATCAACAGCTCGATGTCTAGTTGGCAGCCGGTATCAAGCAGAGTGCCCCAGGGGTCATTCCTGGGGCCAGTTTTGTTCAACATCTTTATTAATGAACTGGATGATGGGATGAATTGCACCCTCAGCAAGTTCGCAGATGACTCTAAGCTGGGGGGTGAGATAGATACGCCGGAGGGTAGGGATAGGGTCCAGAGTGACTTAAACAAATTAGAGCATTTGGCCAAAAGAAATCTGATGAGGTTCAACAAGGACAAGTGTAGAGTTCTGCACTTAGAAAGGAAGAATCCCATGCGCTGCTGCAGCCTTGGGACCGAGTGGCTAAGCAGCAGTTCTGCAGAAAATGACCTGGGGATTACAGTGGACGAGAAGCTCGATATGAGTCAGCAGTGTGCCCTTGTTGCCAACAAGGCCAATGGCGTATTGGGCTGTATTAGTAGGAGCATTGCCAGCAGATCGAGGGAAGTGATTATTCCTCTCTATTCGGCACTGGTGAGGCCACACCTGGAGTACTGTGTCCAGTTTTGGTCCCCTCACTACAGAAGGGATGTGGACAAATTGGAGAGAGTCCAGCGGAGGGCAACGAAAATGATTAGGAGGCTGGGGCACAAGACTTACGAGGAGAGGCTGAGGGAACTGAGGTTATTTAGTCTGCAGAAGAGAGGAGTGAGGGGGGATTTGATAGCAGCCTTCAATTACCTGAAGGGGGGTTCCAAAGAGGAAGGAGCTCGGCTGTTCTCAGTGGTGGTAGATGACAGAACAAGAAGCAGTGGTCTCGAGTTGCAGTGGGGGAGAATTAGGTTGGATATTAGGAAACACTATTTCACTAGGAGGGTGGTGAAGCACTGGAATGGGTTACCTAGGGAGGTGGTGGAATCTCCATCCTTAGAGGTTTTTAAGGCCTGGCTTGACAAAGCCTTGGCTGGGATGATTTAGTTGGTGTTGGTCCTGCTTTGAGCAGGGGATTGGACTAGATGACCTCCTGAGGTCTCTTCCAATCGTAATATTCTATGATTCTATGAATTACAGTTGCTTCTACAAGTGGGAAATTTGGACTTTTCAGGTCCCCTTTATGTAAAGGTAACATGAAACTGTAGTAATATGCTGGGCACTAGAGTTGGGCAAGAAATGGAAGTAAAAATTCACAAAACAATGCAGGGTTTTTTCTGATTTTTGTCAAAAATCTTGATGCAGTGTATGCAAACTCTTCTGGCTCTGTTCAACAGCAACAATGTAGTCTTCTCTTAACAATTGCCAGTGTCCTGTTATGAGTCATTATGAAGTATCCGATAAGAGTTCCTGAATATCAGTTCATACATGTACCTATTAACGTGTCATATATCTAAAGAATACTACTTCGTACCTTAAGAGAATCTTAAGAATTTTCACTATGTCAACTGCATAATGAATGATGCATCTATAATAGTTTTATCTGCCCTTCTAGGTAATAAATCCAAAGAAAAAAGGAAAAAAGAAGAAGTATATTAATTCTGGAACAGTAAGTAGATACTTTTTATATTAACTTACGCTTTCCTTTTCTGTCTGACTTCGTGAAATAAAGTGTATTCAAACTAATTTGACAGTGTTAGAGTAAGACTTTCTTTGAAGAATGCAAGAGTAAAGTATTTACTATAACTCATTTTTTCTACTTTTCCCTCTTTTCTGTGATTAAATGAGTGTCTCGTGAAAGCTTTATCCAAAATATAATTTTGGGTTCCCTGTGAGTTTAGAATTGCTGGAGGCAGTGTTGACTTTTATCTGGAATACATGTTGATTTTTAGAATGCATTAAAATGCTTTTCTTAGTTATTCAGATCGTGTACAGAGACATGAACAAATAAGGGATGATAGATTGTGTCCTTTGTGTTTAAGAAAATATTTATTCTCTAGTCTCTAAATTTTTGGCAGAATTAGATTTAAGAAATGCTGTGACTGTAATTTGCAAGAGTGCTCATGTTTTTTTAATCATTGAGGTACTAACAGCCAGTTCCATATAATGTTGTGAAGTTTTCAGTAAAAATGCAAGAGCCTTTGTAGTCTCAGTTATATTAGCTTGATCCACTGTAATAACTGCAATGCTGATTTTAATATTCTGGCATCCAGGAGAATCAAAACATAATTTAATATAAGACCAGAATAAATCTAAATCTACAAGAATTTATATTTCAGAAAGTCAAACTAAATACAGATGAGTACTGGTTCTACAATCACATATATGCTTAATTTTACTCATGGGAGCAGTCTGAAGTCAGTGGGACTTCCATATGCAGGATTGCAGCCTTGAGGTGGAAAATGATGATTGTTCCTGTGTGTATTTTTCCGTTCATAAATGGGGCATGTGCCATTGTCTTTTCCACAAACCTAAGGAAAAAGATCCAGAATAGAAGAAACTTTATTTCTATGGTAATTTGATGGTAAGAGTTTATTGAAGGAGTGAGTGATTTTCTTTCATGTTAATATATTGCCAGTGGTAGACTTTAATATGTTAGAACAAAGTACTAGTACATTGCATCAGTGTGTTGGCATGATGTCCCTGTGAGTGCTCCATTTTAGGTGTTTAGCGCCCCGCGCTTGTAAGTGGAGATTTGTGGTAGCAGTACCTGGTTGGGTCGCATATGCACAGTCCCCATCTCCCGCTGCCTCAGGTGGTTAACTGGTGCTGTGCGACCAACTCCCCCTCAGTTCCTTCTTTACCATCCTTGGCTACAAGTCGGCGCATTCAGCAGCTCCTCAGAGCTTAGTTAGCATAGTATACCCCAATTAGTTCTAGTTTTGTTATAGATAGTTAACTCCTTTCATTTCCTTATCCCCGTTTATTTAAAAAAAACAAAACAAAACAAAAAAACCACCACCCTTATTTGTTTCCTGAATAGAAATAGGTTTTCATTGAACCATTACTTCTGGTTCTCCCTTCAGGGGGACAAAACTCTCCCTTCAGGGGCATGACCGGGTCTCAAGGCTTTAAACGCTGCCTCACCTGTAGGCTATCGATCCCAGTGTCGGACAGGCAGGCTCGTGTTCACTGCTTGAGTCGAAGCACACTCAAAAGTGCCCTCATTTGCATAAACTGACAGCCCAGACCAGGAAAGTCAGAGACTTGAAGCTTAAACTACTGTTAATGGAGAAGTCTCTGCGGCCAGCATCTGAACCAGAAACACACACACCCCCGAGACACAGTTCACTGACTGCAGCCTCTGATGGGCTCTACTTTGTCTGTGACTCATGTGATAGACCACCCAAATAAAAAGGTGGCTAAGAAGCATATGCTGTCCCCACCAGCTCAGGAACTGATCAAGAAACAGCGTTCCCCAAACGAAGAGACCTTGTCAGTACCGAGAGGCTCCACAGCCAAGATAGCAGGACCCTCTGGTACCGTTGGTACTGCGAGAGCTAAAGATTCCAAGAGAGCTAGCTCCAATGCAGGCACCCAGGGAAAACAGAAACCCCATATCTCGGCACCTGCAGAGCCGTCCCGACACTTGGCACCGGTCATATGAAAACAACTGCAGCCTATGCTTTCACTTCCTGTCAGCATTGTGCAATTGACAGTTGCACCCATAGAGACAACAGCTCCACAGCAGCCAGTACCCCCTGTTACCACATCAGCGGCACCAAGGCTGTCGACACCACAACAGTTCTTCCTTCCCAGAGACTTCAAGGTGATGTGAACACCAGACTCTCCCATTCTCTGCACCGAGATTACAACAGCACTCTCGGTACCGAGCTGTCCCACCACTCCAGAGACGGGCTCCACCTAACGAAGAGAGGGAAGAGCATCTTTGCAAGCAGGCTGGCTAACCTAGTGAGGAGGGCTTCAAACTAGGTTCACCGGGGGAAGGAGACCAAAGCCCTGAGGTAAGTGAGCAAGCGGGATACCGGGAGGAAGCACAGGCAGGAATGTCTGTGAGGGGAGGGCTCCTACCTCATACTGAGAATGAGGGGCAATCAGCAGGTTATCTCAAGTGCCTATATACAAATACACAAAGCCTTGGAAACAAGCAGGGTGAACTGGAGGTCCTGGTGATGTCAAGGAATTATGACGTGATTGGAATAACAGAGACTTGGTGGGATAACTCACATGACTGGAGTACTGTCATGGATGGTTATAAACTGTTCAGGAAGGACAGGCAGGGCAGAAAAGGTGGGGGAGTAGCACTGTATGTAAGGGAGCAGTATGACTGCTCAGAGCTCCGGTATGAAACTGCAGAAAAACCTGAGTGTCTCTGGATTAAGTTCAGAAGTGTAAGCAACAAGAGTGATGTAGTGGTGGGAGTCTGCTATAGACCACCAGACCAGGGGGATGAGGTGGATGAGGCTTTCTTCTGGCAACTCGCAGAAGCTACTAGATGGCACGTACTGGTTCTCATGGACGACTTTAATCATCCTGATATCTGCTGGGAGAGCACTACAGTGGTGCATAGACAATCCAGGACGTTTTTGGAAAATGTAGGGGACAATTTCCTGGATCAAGTGCTGGAGGAGCCAACTGGGGGGGAGCTTTTCTTGACCTGCTGTTCACAAACTGGGAAGAATTAGTAGGGGAAGCAAAAGTGGATGGGAATCTGGGAGGCAGTGACCATGAGTTGGTCGAGTTCAGGATCCTGACACAGAGAAGAAAGGTAAGCAGCAGAATACGGACCCTGGACTTCAGGAAAGCAGACTTCGACTCCCTCAGGGAACTGATGGGCAGGATCCCCTGGAGGAATAACATGAGGGGGAAAGGAGTCCAGGAGAGCTGGCTGTATTTCAAGGAATCCCTATTGAGGTTACAGGGACAAACCATCCCGATGTGTCGAAAGAATAGTAAATATGGCAGGAGACCAGCTTCGCTTAACGGTGAAATCCTTGCGGATCTTAAACATAAAAAAGAAGCTTACGAGAAGTGGAAGATTGGACAGATGCCCAGGGAAGAGTATAAAAATATTGCTCGGGCATGTAGGAATGAAATCAGGAGGGCCAAATCACACCTGGAGCTGCAGCTAGCAAGAGATGTTAAGAGTAACAAGAAGGGTTTCTTCAGGTATGTTGGCAACAAGAAGAAAGCCAAGGAAAGTGTGGGCCCCTTACTGAATGAGGGAAGCAACCTAGTGACAGAGGATGTGGAAAAAGCTAATGTACTCAATGCTTTCTTTGCCTCTGTCTTCAGGAACGAGGTCAGCTCCCAGACTGCTGCTCTGAGCAACACAGCATGGGGAGTAGGTGGCCAGCCCTCTGTGGAGAAAGAGGTGGTTAGGGACTATTTAGAAAAGCTGGACGTGCACAAGTCCATGGAGCCAGATGCGTTGCATCCGAGAGTAATAAAGGAATTGGCGGCTGTGATTGCAGAGCCATTGGCCATTATCTTTGAAAACTCGTGGCGAACGGGGGAAGTCCCGGATGACTGGGAAAAGGCTAATGTAGTGCCAATCTTTAAAAAAGGGAAGGAGGAGGATCCTGGGAACTACAGGCCAGTCAGCCTCACCTCAGTCCCTGGAAAAATCATGGAGCAGGTCCTCAAGGAATCTATCCTGAAGCACTTACATGAGAGGAAAGTGATCAGGAACAGTCAGCATGGATTCACCAAGGGAAGGTCATGCCTGACTAATCTAATCGCCTTCTGTGATGAGATTACTGGTTCTGTGGATGAAGGGAAAGCATTGGATGTATTGTTTCTTGACTTTAGCAAAGCTTTCGACACGGTCTCCCACAGTATTCTTGTCAGCAAGTTAAAGAAGTATGGGTTGGATGAATGCACTATAAGGTGGGTAGAAAGTTGGCTAGATTGTCGGGCTCAACGGGTAGTGATCAATGGCTCCATGTCTAGTTGGCAGCCGGTGTCAAGTGGAGTGTCCCAAGGGTCGGTCCTGGGGCCAGTTTTGTTCAATATCTTCATAAATGATCTGGAGGATGGTGTGGATTGCACTCAGCAAATTTGCGGATGATACTAAACTAGGAGGAGTGGTAGATACGGTGGCAGGTAGGGATAGGATACAGAGGGACCTAGACAAATTGGAGGATTGGGCCAAAAGAAATCTGATGAGGTTCAACAAGGATAAGTGCAGGGTCCTGCACTTAGGACGGAAGAATGCAATGCACCACTCCAGACTAGGGACCGAATGGCTAGGCAGCAGTTCTGCGGAAAAGGACCTAGGGGTGACGGTGGACGAGAAGCTGGATATGAGTCAACAATGTGCCCTTGTTGCCAAGAAGGCCAATGGCATTTTGGGATGTATAAGTAGGGGCATAGCCAGCAGGTCGAGGGACGTGATCATTCCCCTCTATTCAACATTGGTGAGGCCTCTTCTGGAGTACTGTGTCCAGTTTTGGGCCCCACACTACAAGAAGGATGTGGATAAATTGGAGAGAGTCCAGTGAAGGGCAACAAAAATGATTAGGGGACTGGAACACATGACTTATGAGGAGAGGCTGAGGGAACTGGGATTGTTTAGTCTGCAGAAGAGAAGAATGAAGGGGGATTCGATAGCTGCTTTCAACTACCTGAGAGGTGGTTCCAAAGAGG